AAGGGTCACTGTGTTCGTGTCCAGCAGGTTTCTGCCATAGTTCATATCCCAATGCTCCATTTTTTGTCCTGGGCACAAACTGAAATTGTATCTGAGACATTTAATACATGTGCATTTGCAGAGGGGCTGCTGCCATGACACTGCCAACAGTTCCATGATGTCAATGAACGTCAGCTGGGTAATGCTGGAATTGCCAAAGCCCACTCTCACTTGTGACCTTGTTCACTAAAAAAAGATAAGGCTACTAAAATAGAACTGCAGATATCAGTGAGAAAGTCAATGAAAAGGCAGAAATAAAAAAGCATAGATGGGAGATGAACAAATGTTAGGGAAACAACTGAGGCACTGAGAACGGGGGAGGGAAGGGTGCAGTGCCAAACTGGGGTTTTGCTGAGCAGAAATGAGGCTGTGGAGGTGTAAATATTTTATTCTGTTCAAGTAACTGTTCTTAAAAGTTGCCAATCCTGAGATTTTTCCCTGAAATCATTGAGGCAGATAATTCCTTAAGGATGTTACCATTTCTCTCTTGCTGGATGATGCCTAAAGGTGCAATTACAAGATCTGGTCACAGTCTCTTTCATAAATATAGGTCAGTAGTTTGCTACCTCAGACTTGGTTTGTCTTCAGTATAGCTTTTAATGAAATTTAATGACATATCACAAATTTTGGTTTCATATTTTCTGTTTCAGTTTACCTTCCTCACTGGCATATGATAAACCTTAACAATTACTTGGAAAAGCAGTTGTTATTTTTTTCTGCAGCTCCTATAGTAAACAATATTATTATTCTGTGTGAAAGATGTGCATGCATTTGTACTCTGTATATACACACTGTACCACATGGGCTAAGATATCTCTGTCTGGGAGTCTGCAACCAAAGAGTCCAGAAATTACTCCAGTCAAAACAAAATTAATTATAAAAGACTAGAAATGCCACCCCAAGCCTTGAGAGTTTTAATGAGATGCCTGTTTCTTACCAGCATTAAATCTGTGGGGATAAGGAAATATTCACTGAGTTAAGATGTACTAAGAAAAGTGTAAAGAAGAGCATAAATGGCTCAGGAATTTCAGGAATCCCACTGGCTTAAACACTCTTTTATTTAAAGCAAATGTTCTCATAGTTGAATGACTTCCAAGAAGGGCCTCAAGTGATGAAAGTATTTCCATCTAATGTGAAAATACTTGAAAGATGCTTATTCCATGTGAAAATATTGCCACCTTTCAGAAAAGCCTGAATATGAGACTCCTTTCATGAAGATACTCTCAGACAAGGTATTGATTTTCAGAACATACAAAATATCCAGAATTCCTACTGTTTTGATAATAAATAGATTTTAATGACTTTCATCTCCTATAGCAGCCAGGGAAAATATTTGAGAGTATTTCACAAAACAGATACTTCAGTAACAGAGTGAAAAATTTTACATTCATCATCCTGACATTGCTCCCTTTTCCCTCAGGGCATGACTGACCTGGAAAGTACCACTGAGCATCTGCAGGGAAAAGCAATGGGGAAACAAAACCTGTAGAGACAAGAAAGGCACGAACAACTCCAGTCCAGAGCAGTGGCTTTTTAATTCTTATTTTATGATTTTTAGATGTTCACTTGTGCTGAATAAACTCCATTTAATAACTTCTTAATTGGCCACATTTGGAGAATAAACAGATAGTCACTGCTTTCTTCATGAAAGCAGAGTAACTTCCAACACACAGCTTGATCCAAAAGTGGCAGGAAGGTGCCAGGGATTGTGACAGGGTGTGAAGGGATGTGTGGCCCAGCAGGTATCAGAGCAGTTTGTACTGTGCAATAATTCATTGCACACATACTGGGAATTGGGTTGATTCTGGTTTCTGCATCTAAAACTTCAGATATGCCTCAGGATTACAGAACACCATGGGGATCACTGGATGCTCCTAAAAGCTTTTGCAAGAAGTGCAGAATTCCAGAAATCAAATCAACTGAGCTACTAAATGTGATTGGAAAGTGGAGGTAGATTTTTTATCTTCTTTTCTAAAGACAAGAAATGTGCAAGTATGTGACTAACCACCAAGGGTCAGTGTTCAGTGTTTTTACACTCTGATATCTTTGTTCCCAGGTGCTTGGAAAATCCCTTTTAGATGCAGTACTGTAATTAGGATTTTCCAACAGTATTTTTAAACTACCAGTGAGATGCATATGTGCCAAAGTATGGGAAAATTCAAGTGTCTGGACATGGGGCTTTTGTCAGCCAGCTACAAAGTTATGTCTGAACTGAGTATTGTTCATATTCCTGGATATAACAATGTAAGTCCCATTGAAAATAATAAAAAAACACCCTAAGAACTGGATTTTATTTTTATGAATAGCAATTAAGTTATTGTAGCAAATGCCATTCTTCTGTTCTGTTAAGAAAGTTAAGACAGCTCTCACTGAGAGAATGTCAGGTGCTTTGTCAAGATGGCAAGGGATGCACTGTCAAGAGGAGTGAGCACATTTTAAATAAGTTCCTGTGGAGAGAAGTAATTTAACCTGACTTTAAATCATAGTAAGGGTGGATATCAGCCATCAGGAGACTGAGCTGCAGCCTGGCTGGCCTCCCCTGATTCTGGGATGTTAATATAGGTCATAATCCTTGATTGGCACAAACCCAGAATGTACTGACAGACATTCATATAAACTGCAGCTCGTGAAGAAATCTCCACCCAGGCTTACACAATAAACCCAACCCACCTTACCCCACATAAGACACAGAGATCCCTTTGTTCCCCTTCTGCCCCACACTGAGCTCCAGGCACAGCTGCCGAGGGCTGGGGTGCCCCTGCTTAGCTGTGACTCACAGGGTGTAAAACCTGTGCGGATTTCTGTGTGGAGCTGATTTTATTTCTCTGCAGGCACAGCCAAGCCCTGGCAGTGCTGACACTGCTGTGCCTGGGTGAGCTCTCAGCCACCTGGAGCCCGTCTGAGCTGGGTGCAGCTGGGGAGCACAGGAGTGAGCGGATCCCTGCTGACATAATCCCAGATTACCCGACCTGCACAGCCTGCCTTGTCTGGCACGGATCTCAGCCTCACTCCTTGCCCTGCCCAGTCTGGAGCACCCCTCCAGCACTGCCATCCCTCAGGAGTAACCATTTCTGGATGCTGAGGGAGGATCGACCCTCAGGAAAGGACATAAAATTATGGAAACTACAAAGTAATGAGAGAGAAAATAAACAAAAGATACTAGAAATTTAAAAAGAGCAAAAATACTAAAAAAACTAAAATGAGCATGCTAAACAGTACAAATCCTAACACAGAACTCTGGGGGATTTTACTGTAAAAACCTTTTATTCCTTATTCTATTTTTAATAAGGATTTATGTTAATCTTCCATGGCAACCAAATCTCTTTAAGAACCTTTGGTGAAGGAAACAGTAATAGGGATTCCAGAAATCCAAGTCCACTCTCGAGTCTTTATCAGTTCTGGAGAACACTAGGAGGGGAAATAGTTATGTAAATACCATCATGTCATCACCACAATTTTAACCTCTGTGAGGCAAAGTAGAATCAGTAGTAGAAAATTAAAGTATGTTTCTTGAAGAACAGCCAAAAACCAGCAGATGCTGCCTGTAGCAGTTATTATTCAAGTTGTTTAGTCGACTCTTAGGCTGACCTGAACACTGATGTGTTTAATGCCATCCTGCATGCTTCTGTAACAACAGGCAATATGGAAATGGTCATAAAATTGAATCAGCTAAGAAAAAAAATAATGGTTCAAATTAGTAAAAGAAGGCTGGTGGAGGGGAAATTTAAGTAAGTTCCTCTGGTGAAACAAGAAAGGGACAGAATAAATACATCTCCTTAGTGTAAGGTGCTGAGACTTTTCTCTGGCATGCCTGAGGCAGTGCTATAGCAGACAGGATCCTGGCTCAGGCATCCATCCATAAGTTCTGATCAAATAAGGCTAACCTCTTCCTATCAAACAAATACAGTGTTTTCTGGAACAAAACAAAGATCAAACAAAAAAACTACTTGTACGTTTTAGCTATGGTGCAGTGAAGTAAGCAAGATGAAAAGCAGGCGTGTGGTGGGGTTTGATGTGCTGAGAGGGCTGGAGCAGAGCCTTGGCCGCGAGCCGGGGCAGGAAGGAGCTGCTTGGGAGGAACAGCTCACACCTCGCTGGAGGTCCAGGCACTGGAGGCTGCTGGGCTTTGGGCACGAACAACTCTGAGCCTGAAAAGAAGAAATGAAAATATGAATGAAGAATAGGTCAAACTGCCCCGACCCTTCTCCATCCATCCTTTTGGAAGGGGGCACATTTCCCACCTCTAGAAGGGTTAAAGCAGCTGTTCCTCACCCCCGTGCTTAGAGTGCTCTTAATCCTTCACCTCCCCAGATAATTGAGTTGGTATTTTCACATCATTTAACCTTTTTTGGTTTAAACTTAACAATTTTTTAATCAATTCTTTACCATGCTCTGAAAGCAGTGTCTGTGGCAGGTACAGGTACACTGACCTACCTACACCTTAAGCACAGGTAATTCTGCACCACGCCAGCCGCTCTTCACCCGTGACCTCCCCGGCCCGTCCGTGCCCGCGGCAGCGCTGACAGCCGGGGCAGGGCTGTGAAGCGGCGGCACCCGCCATGTTGGGACGGAGCGGCGCCTCCCGGGCCGTGCGGGGAGAACGGGGGCCGCTCTCGGCCCAGGAGGTCACTCCGGGCGGGTGACACGATCGCGTTTGGCCCACGCGTCAGCCCGGGGCGGGTGACGCAGCCCGGGGCGGGTGACACGGTCCCGACTCGCCCCCTCACGGAGGCGGGGCGGCCGTGAGGGCAACCCCCGCCTCCAACGGGTCTCACCGTGATTGGCGCGAGCGCACCCCTTTTCCGCTTTTATTGGTCACAGGCGCTGTCACTCCCGGCCTCTGAGGGCAGGGGCGGGCGCTGAGTGGTCGGCGCTGGCGGCGGCCCCGCCCCCGCGGGGACGCGCGGGCGGAGCGGAGCCGCGGCCGGAGCCTCCGGAGCGGGGGCGGCCTGAGGGCGGGGGGGACGCGGCAGCCGCCGCCGCCGCCATGGAGGCGAAACCGGCGGACCCGCAGCTCTGCGACAGCCTCATCCTCTGGGTGAGTGGCGCGGGGGTTCTGCCGCCTCTGGGGACCCTCGAGGGCAGTGAGGAGGCGCCAGCGGCGGGGGCTTTTCCGTCCATCCTTCCCCCCGTCCCTCCGGCCACCCCTCCCTCGGTCCCCGCCCGCGGAGCGGGAGCTGCGCCTCGGTCGGGCACGGCCGCTTCGGCGGGGCTGCCTGGGACGCGCTGCTCACAGCCAGCAAATGTTCCCGCGGCACCCTTGAGTGTGGATGTGGCGGTCGGAATATCCCGTGGGCCCAAGTGCGGCTCTCCAGCGGTGGCTTCAGTGTGGAAACTGCTCGGCAATTAACACTATTAATAAATAAATGCAATTAATTTGCATTGACAGGCGTAGAAACCTCAGAGTATTTCATACCGGCTGGTTAAAGCGTTTATTAGTCAGGCACGCCACGCCTGGGTGTGTGATGTTACCTGTGCCACAGGCACCTGTTTGGTGCTGCGGAATTATTTAGGTCAGAAAAGACTTTTAAGGTCATCGAGTACAAACGTATTTATTAAATTCATCAATTCCTCTTGTTTCCTCTTTATCTTTCTCTCCAGGCTTCTTCTGTGACCTTGTCTGTAACTCTGGTTTTGCAGGTGCAGTAATTTCGGTGACAGGGAGCTCTGAAATAGAACTTCTGTGTGAAATCTTGGCAGGGAAGGTCACAGTTACCTGTGTGAAGGATTTCTCTAGAAGTAGCAGGAGTTTTGCCTCTGAAGTGTAAATCATGGGGAGAAGGGAGTGTTTTAGAGGCATTGTAGAAATCCAGGAATGAAACTGGTAAAAGTAACAGGAGCAGCAGCCTGAGTAGGTGTTCTTGATTTTTGCATGGCAGCACAGAAGTGTTAATGAGTTAAAGTCTGTAATAAGTCACTGATAAACAATTTCTTCTTTTCTTTTTCCTCCTTCCACTTTCCTTTTAGTGACACTATAACACTGTATTCTCCCAAGGTTTTTTTGCTGTCTAGAATTTTGGTGGCCTTATGTTGGATGTCTTTTGTTATTTAATCTTTCTCTTTTTTTGGGCTCTTTAACTTTGTATTTCCCCCTCAGTAGTCAGGTGAGAGGAACTCCATCGTGATTCAATGGCAAAAAAAAAAAATCACTGCATTTTTTTCCACAAAACTCCTGTCAGCAGTGCTGAATTCTTTTATTTTTCACAATTCCTGCTTTAAATGTTTCTATCCTAATTGTCATTTTTGGTGTGTTCACAGTGTATTAGCTGTAATCACATCATGAATCTTAATGGAACCTTAACTGGCCTTAAACTGAACAATTGTGTCAGTGTAAAGGAAGACCCAACCCTGCGTTCAGGTTTTCTATACAACACTCAGCAGTTGCATGGTTTTAGATTTAGCACCCTATTTCTCGGGCCTGGTTTGCAACTTAGAAACTGATTCTTAACACTTGGATGTGTTTGAAACATCCCTTCACAATTTGAACTTCAGTGTGAGTAATAGGGAGAAAAGTGATGTGAGGAGAGGGGGATGGAGTGCTCTGTGTTTGGAGAGAAAAGGGTTCTGTAACTCTCTGCTTCTCATGGCTTCCCAGTTTATTTACTCATTAATATAGCAAACAGATGCTTATGATTCTCTGTATTTTGCTGCCAGATCTGGCATTTTCCTATTTATTTCACCAAATGCAATATTAGAAAACATGCTGTGTCCAGAGAAGAAAGAGAATATTCAAATAAAAATGTTACCTGTTGTTTCTGCAGCCCGGGTGTCACTGAGTTTAAAGTTCTGAGGATTTTACAGGAAAAACAGAAAGCAGCTAAACTGAATTATAGGGGTAATGTTTATGAGTATCCATGAAAAATTGACTTGGGTAATGTCTGCTATGGTGGAACTCACAAGCTGCAGCAGAAACAATTTTCTAAGTTAGTTATTTTTCCTCTGTGTAGAGGAATAATTAATTGGGTGTTTTTCAGTGCTGTACTACCTGAGACTCCAAAGCAGGGACTGGATGTATGGCAACATCTTAAATTGGAAGCATTTTCCACTATAAATGCACTGCTTGGCCCTGGCACCACTGGTAATGTTCATTCTGTCCAGTGGCTGACTTATTCTATTAATATACTTGGTTTCAGCATAGGAATGTTTATTTTTATTTTAAAATCTCTTTGATTACTCTCTAACACCTCTGTCCCTTGCGTGTGTAGTCTGGGTGTGAAATGGAGTAACTCAACCCTTCATTGTCAGGGAAGCTGAGGGCACACCTTCCCAGGTGGATGGGCTGATTTCTGCTGGCACTCTTTACACTCATGTTTCATCTGCAAATGTTTGGTGGTAGAGCTACAAAATGAACTTTTCAGCTGTATATTGGGAGCATTACAGCTTTGTAATGAGAACTTTGAGAACTTTTGCTGTAGCAGCAGGTGGCAGAGTGCATTCGGGGTGGGATTCACAAAATGGTTTTCAGCATGAGTAGCAGCCTATCCTTGGAGCTGTATTTAGTAAAACTGAAACAAAAGGGAAGAAAGAGCACTGCTACAGTCCTGAAGTCTGTGGCTTCTTTTTCCAGCCTCCTCCCCACGCCTGCCACTTTTATTGGTTTTGCAAGAACAGTAAAAATCCATTTTGATGAAATGATTGGGCTGGCATGAGGTTTGGAGAACCCATAATTAATATTTCTACTCTCTTATTATTTCCAGGTCTTCGTGCAACTTTTAAATACATAGAGAAACCTAGACTGTCAGTTCTGCTTTTTGCTTAATTTTAATTAGCTGTTTCTATTCTGGGAGATCAGTGTTGCATGTCAGGGTGTTCTAAGGCCTCGTTTATCTGCCCTAACAGGCTCAGGTGAAAAGGTTGCACCTGTGTATCACAATTTCCTTGCTTTATGAGGGGCATATCCAGATGGCAGCAGCACAACATTGTGCCATGAAACTCTGGATTTGGGAAGCCCAGGCTGGAATGTAAACTTGCATGCCTGTGCTTGTGCTGAGGCTGCTGGAGCAGTAGAAGCCAGGGCTGTCAGGCAGAGCAGCTTTGGGCTGTGCTGTTCCACTTAATCTTTTATGTAACCTACGAGGGATTACTGACTTCTCACTTCCTGTAAAACAGGATTTAAACCCACTTTTTAAATTAAAAAAAATCCCCTTGCTCTGCCTATTTTTCTCTTGGCTTGATTGGGTTCTTCTTTAAGGAAGCAAACAAGGACTCAGAATTATGGTCACTCTTTATAAACACAGAGTGGACAAAAACTGCCTCAGATTCTCTCAGCTGAAAACTGCTTCTCCATCACTCTGCTCCCAGTAGCTCCATTACCCAAGCACAAGGTCATTCTTTACCAGGAGTTCTGAAGAAGCTTGTGTTGCACAGGATGTTTGGGAAAGGCCTCTTGCAGAGGGACAGGTAATTTAGGACATTGTAAATACACTAAATTTAAGAAGTCCATTTCTGCAGTGGGCAGGGTTTATAAGGATTTGTACTTGCTCCCATTCTATTCTGGCTTTTAGTAGTACCACTAATAAATTTTCTGTTTTGTTTATTGTGGTAAAGAAGGCTCTTATTTTCCTGAGTAACTGTGATGAGCTCACCTGTGTATGGAAATGGCTCTCTCATTTTGAGTAATTAGTTCTGAGTTAATTGTCTTTGGAAGAATAAAATATTACAATTCTAAATATGCAGCTAATTCTGTCAAAATGTTGTCTATAAGCTTGGGGATAATTTGAAAAACATCCCACAATGTTTAAAACAGAGAAACATTTTAACATTGAGGTAATCCCATCCTATTTCTGTTACTAAGTTCTTGTAGTAAAAGACTGGATTTTTTTTTTTTTTCTAATCAGCTTTCTGATAACCTTATTGTGATGCTGGTTTTTTGTTTAGGTAGTTATGTCCAGAACTAAGCACTACAACATAATTCAAAGGCTGGATAAATATGACTTCAGTCTCCCAAGTTATCATTCCATAATCTGCTTCACAAGAGAAGGCCTAGCATGAAAAAAGAGAGTGTGGGTGTTCCTACCAACTTTTTAAGCTACCAGTCATAACAGTCACAAGTTGAGAAAATTGGGTTGGTTTAAAATCTGTGTGGTTCAAAAAGGATTTCAAGTAGAAGGACATCTTGCTAAATGGTTGTTCCTGAAAGGGGAGAAGGAAGATGGCAGCTGATTTATTGTCTGCTGAACTAAACCTGTTTTATTCCCCTGTTTTAGCTGCAGACATTCAATACAGCTGCTCCCTGCAGGGATGTCCAGGACCTGACTAACGGGGTTGCCATGGCTCAGGTGCTTCACCAAATGTAAGTTGATTCTCCAGCTGGAAGAGGAGGGATTCAGTTGCCTGAGGTTTTTGTGTTTGACAGACATAGTTGCTTTTAAAGCAGGCAGAAATTCAGAGTGGACAGTTTATAACAGAAGATGGGTTATGCCTTTGTGTTGCTGTTTTGGGGATGATATCATAGCTGATTAATGACGTGGTGGGAAAGGTGGTGAGAAGATGTACAAATACTGCAGTATTAAATTCATACTTGGGGATAATTGGGCAAGGATGACATTATCTTCTTCACTTTTCCCATCAGCACTCTTTCCATGCTTCAGGCAATGTGTTCCTTTTTGGAATGAGAAACTAAAGATTCCAGAGGCATGGCTTTGTGTTCTTTTCTTCCTGAGGTTGCTCAGTTTATTTAGATTTAAGTTCTGGGTTTTAAATGACAACTTACTATTCATGTGGAGGACAAGAACTGTAAAACTTCAATTGCAATTAATAGTTAGGAATTATTTTACTTTTGATTAGTTGTTCTATTGGTGTGATGAAGATTGGCAGTCTGAGTGATGCACTAGTTTTGAAATTTGCATAGAGGGTTGTAGTGCAAGTCTTGTTTAGAAATAGTATCATGCTGCAAGTCATCACTGCAATTTTATGGCTATTGTTGGTCCAGGTAATTGAAGAGAAGTCTGCATTACCACCTCAGGTTCAAAGTATCATTTTGTAATTACTGAAAAATTACTTCAACACCATCACAATCCACCTCCCCCACCCCCAAAAAAAATGAGCTCAGAAACTCTCCTGTCTGTTTGTAAAGATTTTAAATGTACTTTTTAAAGACAGCTCACCCTTTTTCTGGACATGGCAAAAATTGATTTAGGGTTTGCTGAGAGTTGCTCCCCATGTATTTTGGATGTTAGGCAGCCACGTGCTTTGAGCAAACTTCTTATCACCAAGCTGGTTCTTGTGCAAGTGGGGATAATGATTGTTCTTTATTAGGTGCTTTGAGATCAGTGAATAAACAGTGCACTGTCAAAGTTAAATATTGTTAAATATGCTGAGTGTGTGTAACACCTCCCTCAGCAATTTATCCTTGGTTTATGCTGGCAAACTGAATCCCCTTCTGCCCAGGGGAACCAGAGACATACAAAATGTACAAAATGCCAGCAGTTTAAAGGGTTTTCTTAATACATGCCTATGACAAATTGGAGTAAACATTAGTTAGGCCAGCCTACAGGAATAGGTACCAAACATAATATCAGCACTAGTCAAAAAAAAGATGTTTCTTTACCTCATTATGGTTACTTTATCAGGTATAAAAATTCAGCATGACAAAAGCCTCCACATCCTTGTGCTCCATCCATAGCTGGCTCAGGCACACAGAGAAATCCTCTCAGCCCTGGAATGTGCCTTAATGCAGCCAGCAGCATGGAAATCTCCTGTGATATAAGTTTACCTTGCAATCTCCAGGAATTCTTGCCTTGTTAGACACTGGAGTTCAGCATCAAATGATTTAAATGCTGGGAATTTGCTGTCTTATTTATTTAAGTCTGTGCTCATTGATTAATAATTTCATTTTATTTCAGAGATGTTGCCTGGTTTGATGCATCTTGGCTCAGTCGCATCAAAGAAGATGTTGGTGACAACTGGAGAATAAAGGTATTTAAAACTGAAAGTAATGAAGTTTGTGGGGTTGGATGTTGTGCCTGTCCTGTGATCTGGCAGTCCAAAACCTAGAGAATTAATCTCAAGCTTTTCAAGGATATTTTAAATGAGCTTGAATTGTCTGTTGATAGTTTAAGAGCCTTCCAGCATTGCTGGATGGGGATTTTCTGCTGTGATATTTCTCTTCCTATGTCCTCTCATAGAGCTGCCTTGTAACCAATTTCATTAGAAATTGTTATTTGATTTAATGAGAAGTAACATTTTAAATAAAATTGTACCCTTGTCTTTCATGTACAACAACTAGTCCAGTAATTTGAAGAAGATACTGCAAGGAATTATGGACTACTACCATGAGGTATGGAAAAAACAATTTACTGTTGTTGTTCTCACCATTAAACACAATGATTATTGCTCCCCTTGACTTAGCCAAGTAGAAAAAAAGCTGTAATTCGTTCTGAGGACCTTTTAGGCAGCAGATGCATGATAATTATGTATTAAGGGGGAGGTCTGAGTGAATATGAAATTAATTTGGGCAGGTGTGTTTTAGATGAAGCTCTTGGAGTATGAACTGGGAGCCATGTCTCTGCCCGGGTGAATGCTGAAAGGACTGAGCTGCAGAATCCTGTTGACTTTTGTGTGTGTGTTCATGTTTGCTCTTGTCTAGAGAAGTTTTAATCCTGTTGTACACAACAGAACAGACTCAGCAACCCCAGTGTGGGTTTTATGATATTCAGTGGGAAGCTGGGAGCCAAGATAGGAATCCTCCTGTTCTGTGTCATGCAGGGATGAGTACAGTAGCCATAAAAGGCTGCTGTATTTTGAATTTTAAAAAAATTGCTGAATTTTGTATTGACGTGATTACAGTTATGTAATGGGTATGGTATAGAAAAACTTGCCAGATCTTGTTGTGGCTTCCTGGTCTTGCTGGGCTGAGCTGTGACACCAAGAGCCAGGCCCTGATGTGCTGTCAGTTCTGAGGATCTCTGGCAGGCCCAGAAGCAGAACTTGTTTAAAGTTATGAGAAGTTTTGTTGAAGGATTTGGAAGCAAATCCATCTGGAAGTGTTATTAATTCCTTTTTCTATTATGTTGGTAAAATAAATGAATTCTCTCATATGTGGGAACTGTCCAAATAACTTTAACTGTAGTCACTTTTTCTTGTAGAAGTGCTCAGTTAACTGAACCTGATAACCAACTTCTAGGGCATTTTCTCTGGCTGGCTCATTGAGCCCAGATTTCCTACATGATATCAGATTTTCATGTTGTACAAAAGTGGGAGTCTACTTTTTCTTATAATATTAATTTTTTTTCAGTTCCTGGGTCAGCAGATTGCAGAAGAGCTTATTCCAGACTTGACCCGGATATCTGAGAACTCAGATCCCACTGAACTGGGCAGGCTCCTGCAGCTGATTTTGGGTTGTGCAGTCAACTGTGAGAAGAAACAAGGTAGGCACTACCTTAACCTGCTCAGCAAACAGCAGACTGCCTCAGGTGATAGTTAAGGTGGAAAAGATGTAGAAACTTCTCTTTCTTATTTATCAAGATTGTTAATTTGCCGAATGCCTGTTCTGAAACTGGAGTTCACTTAAAAGCAGAAATTCCCTGGGAAATGTCTGTGAATAAAACTCAAAACTTTGTTCAGAGTAGGTTTAAAAATAGAGTCTGAAATGTGTATGGTCTATTCATATTGTTAAAATATGTACCAAGACCTATTCAAATGCAAATATAGCAAAATTAAATTAAGTCCTTAAATTAGAAACTGCTTCTCTGCCTGCAGAGGCTCAAGACTGAATTGGTTGTTTTCTCTCCCTTTACCAGAACTAATCCTCCATGCTTTGATGACATCTCTCCTTAGGCAGAGTGTAGATTTGTCCAGTTAAGAGTTTATAATGTTTTGTGCTTATCTGCCATATTACTGGATAATAATGCTGGTGGTTAATGGTACTCCTCTATACAGAGACCACTACTTGTTTTGTGGGAGCTTGATGGATAATAATTTTTTCTGGATCTTTCAGCAAACAGTTTATCATTTTACTCAAACCATTGAGATGACCATTGTCATGAGTCACTACAAATCCTTTTTCACAGAGCACATACAGAATATCATGACCCTTGAAGAATCTGTTCAGCACGTTGTCATGACAGCCATTCAAGAGGTAGGTAACAGTTCATAGCCTGATGCTGTCAGTTGAGAAGTCCAAATATCTTTTTGTTGACCTCTGTGAATTTTTTCATCCAAGCAAAGGTCAGGGAGGAGTATAAGAACTTTCCTAAGTTATTTGAGAGGTTTGGGGCCAAGACACCTTAAACCCCAGCCAAAAGGTTTTGGTTTTAGACTCATGGTGCCCAAACATACAACAAATGCTTAAGATTTTTTTGTTCCACACAAGAAATGTATAGAGTTGCCAGCCACTGATTATACTGGAGTTAGACTCTGAAATTCTGTCCCAGTACTGTAGTCTTGGTCCCAGAGTTAAGCTGATTGTGCTTGTGAGGTTGCATTGTTCTGACAGACCATTCCAGCGTCTGACTTAGAAGCTTGCAGCTGCATCTCTGCTATTTCTGTCACAGTGTGCTCCTCCTCCTGTCTTAATTTGTTCTTGCTTGGATCATCTTAGTGATCCAGCTCACAGCTTAGCTCTGCAGTCACTGGCTTTTGAGAGCTTCAGGAGTGTGAAGCAGAGTGTGGAGAGAGGCAAAAACTAAACACTGATTGTGAAGAGAAGGTGGTGTGTAATTGCACCCTCATCAAGGTAACAGTGGAGTTGGTAATAAGCTTTATAAATTAGATTTAAATTGTCTGTATAGTCTTTAAAGCTGTACTTGTCCTGTTGGTAGAAATAAATCCATAAAGCTTGTGTTTGTTGTCTTCTGACTAAGTAAACTTTCTAGAAGAAGGTCTGGAAATAATTCAGTCATTTCTGAGAGGATTAAAACCCTTTAATTGTTGGTAAATACACACTGTACATCTTCGTATCTGAGAAGTAATGCTCTCTGTGTTTGTTTAGTGGCAATTAATGGGACACAAAGAAATGTGAAAACTGTTAAATCAGTGGAGTGAAATCCTGTCTTTTGGTTCACTCCAGTTTGACTGATTAGGGGGTGGCAATACCTTCAACACGTCACACATTCATCCAATACAATGTTACTGCAAACTTGATTAATTTTGAGAGGAGGGAGGTGAAAAAATCATCTTACTGGAGATCTGTTTAAATCTTTTACCAGCCATGAGATGAGGAGGAGCATTATTAATCTGTTTTGGTACATTGAAGGGATGCAATAACACAATGGAAAATACAGTTGGTACTCAGTAGACAGTGAACTCACAGATCTATAATCTCTAATTTAACCTTTTTTCCTGTGGCCTCTCTCTGTAGCTCATGAGCAAGGAGGTAACAAGTGCTTCCCCATGTGATGCATCAAGTGAAGTGGAACAGCAGGTAATTGCCTGATCTGTGTTGCTATTGTAGATCAAGCCTGAACTGTAAGTTGGTATCTGACCATCCCTTAAATGAAGAAATGCTGGTTTTCAGTGCTAATTAACTAAAAATTTAAGTGTTATTCTATAGCTTCTTTAAAAAACCCACAGTGACTGCATGGGGTGAAACTGGTCAGTGCAAACCTACATTGCAGGGAAGGGTAGGGGTGCACCAAGGCTCAGCCTTCTTAGGCTGAGTGCTTCAGGTTACTCTTAAGGGGTTGTGAAAATTCCTGATAACATGAACACTACAGGATGTTGCACATAAAATGAACTTTTCTTTTAAGGCATATGAAAATGGTGACAGCACATTCCTGTGTTGTGCCTTTAGCCTAAGTTGTTGTGTTTCAGTAATTTAATTTCTAAGTGTGATAATCAGGCAGGTGAAATGAGCAGGGATTCTGATCTAGCAGAGTATTTATAGGTTTGTGTGTCAATGTGTGCACCCAACAACCAACTTAAACAATGGGTATAAGCAATTGAGGCATTTTAGAAGCTGTAACTGAGTATTTTGAATATGGGCCATAGTGATTGACTGCCTTATTTTTGAAAGCTTAAAAAAGCCTTGGAAGACCTTGAGGAAGCACGAGCAGAAAAAGAGGAGTTGGCACAAAGATGTCAAGAGCTGGATTTGCAGGTAAGAAACAGTCAGTTGTTTGTTTCTTGAATATGTAGTGGTGCTGCTATTAAGATGCAGAAATTTTTAAGGGCAAAGTGCATTTTGCGTTTAAATTTTGGTGAGAATTTGTACCTGCTTGTGGTAGAAAAGCAATTATTCTCTGCTCCAAAATGCAATTACTGGAAAGAGTTTTCTGATGGAAGTGTAAGCTGAGGCCCTGTGCCAGCTTATCTCAAAGGTTCTTTGTCTCAGGTTAATGTTTACCATTAGTAGCAGGTAGTGTTAAAACCACCTTATCATGGTTTTAAAAATTGCCCTTTTCATTCTTGGTTCTCTAGTCTTTTGTACTGAGTCCAAAAAATCCACTTCATGTCATAAACAGTAATTAGATTTAATCATAGGAAAATCATGCTGTTTCAATAGGAGTTGATGAAGGACAAAAATTCATAATTTATCTAAAACTTGCTAACTTTTTCTCATACACAATTGCAACATGGAGGAGATTTCAGGATAAAAATAATGAAAACTAATAGATCCTTGCTGACATTTTCAAACCAAGCTAATAATAGACCTATTTTTGTTTTTAATGGATATAGCAGTTAATCAAGTCACTCTTGAGAGAAAGGAATGAGGACTTCATGACAATAAAGAGAAATTTGCATTTCAATCAACACTTTAAAGAAAAAAATCACTTATTAGCCCCTCTCTTATGGCACTATAATCTGAGAATAGAAAGAGTTTTATCTGGGAAGGCAATTCATGTCAGATTTGGCTCTGCACAAAGAGAACATTGGGGTGGCATCTTCTTGGAGGAGCCAGAGGGCTGCACTGGCTGTGAGAGCCTCTGGAAATGAGCACCCACAAAAGCAAAGGCCACTTTTACATTTCTTGCTGACAATGACAACTGTAAAAACAAAATACTTGTGTCTAAAGCAGCTCAGAGCTACTTGCCATGCCCAGGAAGCCACTGCTGTAACTGAGTTGATATTTAATTTTCTTTTTTTCTTGAGGCAGTAGTAAAGTAAAGGGATGTAAAAATGCTTGTGAGAAGAATCTGCAGGAGAAATCCCAGGTGCTCTCCTGTTCTCTCTGGCTTTTCATCCAGAATTCTCAATTAATTAATCATAGGTGATGCAGAGCCAGTTGCTCATAACATGGCGTGGGGCAGGTGAGAGGTGTTCAAGGGAAAGGTACTGAATATAAACAGATGAGTTGATGACAGCACAGCTCTGTAATACTGTGATGTGTCTTTAAACCCTCTCTTCATAATTTCTGTCGACTGTGACACCACTTTGCTGCATTGAAATAATTTGAAAAGAAGAGAAGGCTACCAGAAAGCAACTGAGAAAAGATGTAAAACTTGCTCTGAGTTGTGTATCAGAGTATGATCTTTACGTTTTTTTTAAGTCTGAGATGAGTGATGTTTCAGGATTATTGTGAAAATCTGAATGTTGTGCATGCTTAAGGAGTGGCTGACCCTTGAACAGGAGGCTCAGATGTGCTCCCTACTCACAGGTGTTTGTGTGTATTTAAATAGTAAATGACATCTGGTGCATAAAAAGGAGTGAACCTAGAAAGCCAGCACCTCATGAAGTGGCAGATTAACCACTGATTGACTTTTACATCTGTTTGCCTGATAGATTTTTAAATTATGATCACAAACAAATTGTTTCTTAATATTGCATACTGTAGATTATATCTGTTTAATGTCATCATGTTATGTTTTATTTTATTTCTTTGAAGCCGTAATATTGACTTGACACTTCTCATTTAAACTAATTCTTAATAAATTCACTTGTAAGGTCTCAGTCTTCCTTGATATTTTCCAAGAGTATAAGAAAGGTAGGTTTACTTTATAATTCAGGAAAACATAACCCAAAAAGCACATTGTCCCTGTTTCAATGCAGTCGACTAACACATGCTGCGTGCTCCTATGTTCGACAGGACGTTAAAATTAACACAGCAGCTTTCACTAGACAAACTTGAAAGGTTCTATCCTCTTAATCCTTGTGGCTGTGAGGCTGGCTGCTGTGAGTGCAGTGCTGTAGCCCCTGTGCTTAGCTGTGACATGGGGTAGCCATGTGTGCTGCCAGGGTTGCATGCTCCCCCAGGCTGGCCAGGCTGTCCGTGCGTGTGCGCTTGGCCCACCCCGCTTCCCGCAGCCATCCCCGCTCAGCACGGCAGCCTGGGCTGCTGGCCATGCCCTGCTGCTTCTGGTTGTCAACTACAGGCAAGATGGACACTTGTTGCAGCAGCACTCGGAGTTTTTTGTACGGCGTCCGTGGTGTTTTTAATGGAAGTAGCAGTTTCTCTCCATATCACTTTGTCCGCCTTTTTACCGTGGTTTCAGTTACAGAAATTCGTCTTTTTATTTAGAGGGACTTTTCCTTTAGTGCTTCATAACTGTCATACACTAAAGCATCTGTATGCTCCAGTGTGCTCTGTAAACTACATTCTAAAACTTCTAAATGCTCAGCCTTTTTCATTAACTAATTTGGTGATGTATTGCTGTCTTGCTTCACTTCTTTGGACAGGTCTTATACTATTCATGCTGTTTTATCTGTGCTAGGTGGCTGCCCTCCAGGATGAGAAAAACAGCTTGATGTCAGAAAATGAGATTATGAATGACAGACTAGAGCAATTAGACGACTCTCTTGATGATCCAAATACCATGGTTGCAAAAAAGTATTTTAGTGCACAGTTGCAGCTGGAACAATTGCAAGAAGAAAACTTCAGGTATGAAATTATTTCCCCCCAAAATCTCTCACTTGTCTAATGCACTCTGCAAATTTCTGGTACTCTTAGAGGCTTTTCCATCTCATATTCTTTTGCATTAAAAGCTGTCTAGTGCTGTCTAAGCATATTTTAAAGGCAATCCTTACATTTGAAAAGAAAAAGAATCTGTTACTTCTTGTATAAAGTATTGATTTGTAATTGGAATAGCCCTCTAATACTTCCAAAAAGGGAAGAACGTGATGGAAGGCAAAAAAATGAGTGCTGATTTGTGTGACAACAGATCAAAAGCTAAACCCCCCAACACCACCATGTGTCTCTACTGAACTGATTTCTTTCTTTCTTTAGTCTCTCTCCGTGATCCATATTGGGAAACAAAATCTCTTTTCATGTGATTCCTTGATACTGATGTGATAAATTTGTAGTGTGCAATGCATTTTGATTTAACAGGTAGACAACAAAATGTTACATGTCTACTGTAAAATTTTCCCAGCTACTTAAATCAGTATTTTCCTTCTATCTTGTTTCTTTTTAGTAATTCTAGTACTAAAGAAACTGTGGAATAGTGATGAGTTCCTAACAAAAGTACTGGTTTTGATCTGGTAGGCTTGAAGCTGCAAAAGATGATTATCGTGTCCATTGTGAAGATCTAGAAAAGCAATTGATTGAGCTGCAACATAGAAACAATGAACTGACCTCTCTGGCAGAAGAATCAAGAGCTTTGAAAGATGAAAATGACATTCTTAGGTATGTAGCAGAGAGAGCTCCACACGCACATTAGGATTTAATGGCTAAGCCCAAGGATTTGTATTTAACAAGGTTTTTTTGAGGTGTTTTTTCTGCAGTTGTTACCTGAACGGGCTCTTTGGCTAAGCAGAGGTGAAGTACAGGCTTTCAAGGAAAAGCTCCATTGTTTGACAAGGATGACACATGGAATTTGAAGCAGAATTAATAACTACAGAACTTAAGCTTCTTTGTATGAGACCGAAAGTGGAAGTTCCCATGTACAAAAGCATATGTACAGCTAGAATTTTAACCTAAGTTCTGGTGTCAGCATTCTAGGCCAGATTTAGGTTAGTAAGATCATTAACAAAATGAAGATGAAACACACAGTAACTTCCTTGAGAATTTAATGTAACATTAAATTCTCATGGAAGTTAAAATGTATGAAATACCAGACCACCCAAGAAATATCCAAAATAAATTGCATTGTGAAAGCAGATCTGCTATTCATAAAATAATATGAATAAAACGGAATGGAAAGAAAAGTGGTTTCAGGTGTTTAACTTAGTGGTTCTTAAATAACATCTGAAACAAATCCTAGCTGTGGATTTTTTCCATTACTTTCTTGTACCAGCTTCTGGCGAGATATGAATGCAGATAATAAACACAAATGTTAAAATTAATTTTAAAAGTATGGTCCCAGTGTTTTCTTACCATGTAGATTTTTTTAATGATCAGCTGACAGTTCTTGGGTGTATCTGCCAGTGATCATTTTCTCAGAGCAGTTATGTTCTAATTCTGAATAATCCCTCAGTGAGATCATACCAGGTACGAGTATTTTGAGGTGACTGTGTAGCACAGGATGTCGTGGTGCCACAGAATTCCTCAGGGATATTTGACCCACTAACCCTTGGTATTATTTCTGTGACTGTCAGTCTCACTTGAAGGCTGGCTGATTTCAGTTTTTACAAGCAAGTTTGTGTCAATTATACATTTAAAAATAGAGCGGTGAAACGTAACTGCTGCTAATCATGTCACATCTCTCTTTGAAAACAGTGTGTGTCAGCAGCGTTGGAGTTTTCTAACATTTCCTTGTGGTTGCTGTTGATATCTCCAGGGCTACTGCAGACAAGGCAAGCAAGCTGGAGTCGACAGTGGAGGTGTATCGGAAGAAGCTGCAGGACCTGAACGATTTCCGCAGGCAGGTCAAGTCCCTGCAGGAGACCAACATGATGTACATGCACAACACTGTCAGCCTGGAGGATGAGCTCAGGAAAGCCAACGCAGCACGGGCCCAGCTGGAAACCTACAAGAAACAGGTAGTGCTGCACTTGTGTTTGAAAGGTTCCTGTTTCCCCAGGTGGCTGGGAACACTCTAACAACCCTGCATTGTCCTTCTGGAATTTCGGAGTTGTGAAAACTCCTTCATACCCTGCGGTTCCCTTGTGGGCTTTTCCCTGTTTGTTAAACTTGCAAGCCTAAGTGTGGCTGTGCTCTCGACTGATGTGAGAGTCCATAGTCTGCAGGCTTTTCTTCTTTACTCTGACTGAGGTAATTTGTGTGCCTGGGAGAGGTTGTTCAGCTGTTACTGAGATAATTTGTGTGGAATCATAGAATGGTTTGGCTTGGAAGGGGACCTTGAAGATGATCTCATTCCACTGTCATGGGCAGAGACACCTTCCACTGTCCCAGATTGCTCCAAGCCCCATCCAACCTGAGCTTGAACATTTCCAGGGATGGGACACCCACAACTTCCCTTTGAAATCTGTGGCAAGGTCCCACCACCCTCACAGTAAAGAATTTTTTCTTAATACCTGATCTAAACCTGTTCTCTTTCAATTTGATCCCATTCCCCATGTCCCGTCACTACATTCTTATATTCTCATATTCTTACCATTCTTCATAAAAATTATAAGTTTTATTTTAGTTTCAGTAGGAATTAAGAAAGAGTTAAATAAAAACAAAACAAGAACAAAAAAAAGACCACAGAAAAAAACTCAAAACCAACCAACCAATAATCAATATAACCCCCTCAAAACACAGAGGTCCCCATCCCATCTCTGCCTCCTTAAGATTGAGAAACCAACTGTTTTATTTTGGCTGAATTGGGCAGGAAGGATTGTCTTAATGTAGCTTTTTAAGGTAGCATCTTGCAACATTCCTGTGCTAAATAAAGTTTTTATGAAAAGGTCCAGGAGCTTCATAACAAACTGTCTGAAGAATCCAAAAGAGCTGACAAGCTGGCGTTTGAAATGAAGCGACTTGAAGAAAAATATGAAGCTTTAATAAAAGAAAAAGAGGTAAGTCCCTTTAAGAGTTTATTTGAGCACCTAAATCTCTCTCAGATCCTCTGCATGAGGAGAACCTTCCTGGAAGTAGTGCCACTATAAAAATGAAGTTTAGTGCCCTGTGTGTGTGCATTCACATATAAAACAAAATATAGAATCTTCGTATTATGAAGGTTGGGAAAGATCTCCAAGATCGTCTAGACCAGCCTAAATTTGCATGTGTCATTATTACTTCTGATGAATGTTATTTGGTGTTAAAAGTGGTGCACCTGACCTAATTCCATCTCAAATGTGTCTTGTTAGAGACTGATAGTGCAGTGTGATGCATTAAGAGAGACAAATGAGGAGCTGCGGTGTGCACAGATGCAGCAGGATCACCTGAGTCAAACAGGTACTGCTTTATCTTCTCTTTTATTTGGGTTTGAGATTTCTTTAAGTGTGCTGCATTAAACCCCTCATGTGATTTCAGGTGAAAAAAGCCATGAGAATCTTGCTGCTGAAATTCTGCCAGTGGAATATAGGTGAGATCCAAAAGCTGAGGTTGTTTGGGATGTTTGTAGGTAGGGCATGAAAATGTCTCTCTGAAAGTTCAGTATTTACATCAATGTGATTCTTTATCGCACTCCTTGCTTTGCCACCATACAGGTGTTAATAATTATTTTCCCACACTAAAATTACTTTGCTTTTTTTCTTAAAAGTGTATCAGATTGGTGTGTATAAATCTGGGTTTGGAGTGACAATTTAAAAGTCTGCTCATATATCTTAAAGTTTTCAAGCATTTTAACTTGCCATTTTATAACAAATTGCATTGTTACCCAATTGCATCATTAAGTACAACTTGCTTGGCTCACTTTAATATTGGGGGAGTGAACAGGACTACTTCTTCCTCCTCTTAGTCACCTTCTTAATTAACAGTGACTTTTTTTGTTGTTTTTGCTTTAGGGAAATGTTTATTCGGCTGCAGCATGAAAATAAGATGCTCCTGCTGAAACAGGAGGGATCAGAAAATGAACGAATTGCTGAGCTCCAGGAAGAGCTGGAGCAGAAGCACCGGACAGTGAACGAGCTGGAAACTGAGAAAAGGTGGTGGGGGAAACTGTACCTTAAAATACAGCAAAAATGATCTCTGGAGTTTTTAGGGTGACTTGTACATTACATCTGTAGTGTAGGAACATTTTCTTTCACAATAAATGAAGGATTGTGAAGCAAGGAAGAAGCAAAGTGGTTTAAATGTGGTAGATCTGTGGGTACCGTACCCTGAAGGAAGTGCTGCTTACAGGACACTCTCCTTCAATCTGAATTATTCTTGGTTGACCAAGAATGGATGTGAACTCTATTTCTAGAACTTCAGACTGTTAGACTGTGGATTTTCTATCAATGAATGATAAAAAATTTTACTAGAAAAGGAAAATTTTTGATAGTTACGTTTTCTCAAAGCTTAACATGACAATAGGAATTTCATTATAAAATATTCAGTAGAACTCCATGTGTTTGTTTCTGCAGAAGTTCCAGTCACACTAAAAGCATTTGAAATCAGTTTATTTGTGGCTTAAGTCATGCTGGGTAGACCCTATGAAAAACTAATGAAACAGAAAAATCTGCCTGTAAACTATTTATTTAGATGGACAGTAACTGAGTTTTGTTCCTAAAAGGCTCAATGAAGAGCGTATTGGAGGATTACAGCAGCAGATTGAAGATCTGCAAAAGACTTTACAGGAGCAGGGATCCAAGACTGAAGGAGTAAGTGAAACATTTTGCCACTTTTGTTTCAAGTCCTCCAGTTTGGCATCAAGTCCTTTGTTTAGCATCTTATTTTTCAGTGTGTCTGAGGAATACCTCCATATCAACTGCAGTTCACTTGAAAAGCTCCTTGTGATTCCTTCTATGGAACTGTAACCCTTCTACTTTACTTTCAAAGTCCCTGGTTTTATCATTCAATAGATTTATTTGCTTTGGCTTATTTAGTTGTGCTAAGTATTCTTGGCTGATTTGTAAGAGCCCTTGAATGTTGCATGGTATGAAATACTGAAATACAACTGAATTTTAACTCTCTCCTTTCACAGTCTAGCAACCTGAAGCAGAAATTGGCAGCACACATGTAAGTAAGGCACATGCATCCACAATAGCTTGTTTATGCTAAATAGAGCACAGGAAATGGTTAAATCTTGGTAGGGATGTCTTGCTTTTCTAAGCCACTGATTTGAGGATTATGCATAGAGTTAAATATTGGTGTAAATATAGTTTTGTTTACTCTGCCCACAATGATCTTGTAGTACCACTTCACTGTCTCTTCATCACCACCAGCATTTTAACTGTTCTGATTCTACAACTGACTGCTAAAACCATCACTCAAAGTGTATTCTACTCCTCTGAAATATTTCCAGTCCTGTCAGCAGATGTAGTTCTTCCTAAGATGATGCTGGAGGGACTTAATTGTTAATTTTCCTAGTTTTAACTAAAGTAAGATCAACTCAGAAGTCAAAACTTTTATGATATTAATATTTCGATTCAAACCTTCTATATATGAAGAATTGCTGGAGCTTAAAATACTTATTTAAATACTTCTGTTGTGAAGTTTAAGCTTCCAGCTGTTAAACCTGGAATTATTTGTCAGCTTATTCCTTAGCCCAACTTTTCATTCACAGGGAAAAGTTGAATGAGGTTCATGATGAGTTACAGAAGAAGGAGGCTGATCTTGCAGAGCTCCAGCCTGATGACAGCCAGAACCGTGAGTTGTTTTGTGGTTTGGGGATTTTTTGGTATTTTTTAAATAAGACTGTTTAAGTTTCTTCTGAAATGATTCCCATAGCCACTGGATCATGGGATAGTTGTCTGGATGAGGCTTTCTGCTGCAGCTTAGCTTTAAATCTGAACTGAGGGGTCTGGAGGGGTTCTGTGTGTGGTGGTGGGCAGGGAGAGGATCCTGGGGGGGATGAGGTTTGTTGAACAGTGCTCTGCAAAATGGGATTTCAGGGTCAGGTGGGACAGCTGAAACAAAAATAAGAACTTAAACCTTCTAAACTTGAACTTCTAGCTTCTACATTGCTCTCTGTTTGAGGGATGGTGAAATCAAAAGAACACAGAAGCCTTGAAAGTACCATGTCTGTTTTTATTTTGTCTGTCTATGTTGATAATTTCTGTAAACAGCCCAGAAGATTGGAGAGCTGGAAGCAGCTTTACGAAAAAAAGATGAGGATATGAAAGCAATGGAAGAAAGATATAAAATGTACCTTGAAAAAGCAAGGAATGTGAGTAGCATGTTTCTGAGCATATGCATTCCTCCCTCATAAATTGTTAAACAGATTGAGTGTGTGTGTCCCCACTTCCCAATTAAAAGCAGTCGCTTCAAATTGCATTTTTAGTCAGATGTTCAACTGCAGTCAGTTAAATCTGAGAGAATAAATAGTGTTTAGGCTGAGCATGAGGTGCAGTAAGGATTCCTTTGTACCCTTTGGTCTCTATTGTACAGAGTAACAGCCTGACCAGAGCCCAGCCTGTTCTCACACTCCTCCTTTGAGCAGGTGAGATGCAGAGCTGTTGAGAATCAAACTGACTTGCAATGCTCTTGTTTTGCCTTGTCCAGGTGATAAAAACCTTAGACCCCAAGCTCAATCCAGCATCAGCAGAAATTATGTTGCTCAGAAAACAGATACTGGAAAAAGACAAAAGAATCGAAGCACTAGAGGTAAAAATCTTACATATTAAAATAACTTCTAATATAATCTGTTTCTGATATTAGTCATTCAAGGTGTTGCCTAGTAATTCAGTAAAATCTGTCTGGCTGAAATTCTGAAAGGATTGTTGACAGTAGTCCAAACATAAGAAAAAAATGGGGAAATGCATTGAGTTTCACAGCAATATTGACAGGACTATTTGGAATAGTTGCCTGAGCAAATAGGAACTCCTCAGCATGATTCAGGAGGCTGATAGGTCTGACTGTAAATGCTGTGGCCTCACATTTCTTTTATGTATGAGTACAAGGGAAGTATATTATATAATAGCAATTAGCCTGTCACTGGAGGTACATTCTTTTCAGGTGAAAAATTACTAAATTATTTAGGGATTTTCTGATACACAGCAGACCTCTTGTGCATATCCCCACACAAGCCCTCAGAGTACATTTCCAAATTTTGTGTTTCTAACTGCTACTTGTGTATTTCTACCTCTTCTTAAAACAGGCTCCTATTTATCTCTCAGTTGTTTATGGAAGTGTCTTTGTTTATACTTCTAGGCTTTGTAGTTATTTGGTGTATTGAAGCATTTCTGCTGCCTGTGTTTATTTCACTCAGTGAACTGCAGCAAGTTTATGCAGATAAAATTCGTGGCTTAACTGAGATTTGTCCTTGCAGAATGAATACAAAATAGCCAAGCTACGTGACTATGAGGAAAAGCTGATTGTAACTGCATGGTACAACAAGGTGGGTCAAAAATCCACTTTTTGAAACATCTTTTGCTACACGTGCCAGTTAAATCTTAATTAACCTAAGAAATACAGTGGAAAAAAAAAATTTGTGTCAGTACTAAGAAAGCATGAGGAGGATGGGTAATTTTTTTCCCTCTGTTTTTGCTGTTGTTGAAGTTGCTGTTTGCCTCTTGCAGAGCCTGAGTCTGCAGAAGCTGGGCATGGAGGCCAGGCTGGTGGGCAGCAGTGGCAGCTGCGGGGCCGGGCCCGGCCGCTCCTTCCTGGCGCAGCAGCGTCACGTCACCAACACCAGGAGGAACCTCACTGTTAAAGTACCAGGTGCAACATCTGATTAAACACCAGGACATGAAGAAGACTCACATGCTAAAGTGTCCTTAAATGTTTTATACCTTTCCACTTTACCTACTTGATGAGAGAGGAGGTTAGAATGCTGGGCAGCTGCAAATGACAACATCAGAGCCTGTCAGGAAGGGATTAAGGTGATCAGCCAGAGGGTAGCATGTAGTTTTCCAAGTAGATTTAATAACTGCAGCATGTACAAGACAACTTAAGAGATTTCTATTTGCCTTCAGATTATATTGTAAATACGAAATTTGGCACTATATATTTAAAACTTTATTTAAGTGGGTTTGGGCTAGAAAGTTGACTTTTATAATGGAAGATGTTATGCAAAGGTGTACTTCAGGAAACTGGCAATATTGGACATTTTTGCTGGGCTCTTCTGAAAACAGATCTAAAAGATTGGTAACCTCTTTTTAAAAAAGAGGTTTTTAGAGTAGAAAGCACAATTTTAAAAGCAAGAAAGTACTTGCATTTATAGAAGAAAATAAAGGTGTAGTACCAGCTGTTATGTAACAGAAGACAGGATTTGTTTTATGAGAAACAGAATTTCTCAGTTTATTTAAAAAAAAAGCAAAGCTTAAGTTGGTGCATATATGCACTGAGGAAAATCTGTCTTTAAAATGAATTCACTTAAGCCAGAAAAGCTTGTCTTTTCCTGGGTAAGAAAAAAGCTATTATACTAACTCAAAAGTCTGGGCTATATTTTAAATGTCTGGCATATTGGTATACTGCATTTATCTGCAGAAAGGGGATTAGGTGGGAAGGAGCCCCATTTATTTCAACCTATTTACACAAGCCTGTGCATGGAAATTGCATTTCCTCTTTTTTAAAGGTAGTTTCACTTGGCTATTCTGAACTAACTGTGCTAGGCAGAGGAGTGAGAGATGGCTGTGGCAGTTACTGGCAGCAGAGGTTGGTTGTTGGCAGGGAGCAAAGTGCATAAGCTGTAATAGTTTGATTGAAGATTAAATGGGGGTTGTTACCTGACATCTGTGTGCAGGAAGTTGCTGTCTTCCCCAAAACTTGTGACTTTATTTCCCAAATGTCTAACTCTTGTTTTGAATTGTAATTTTAGGAAAGCTGTTAATGTCTGTTCTTTGCAAATGGTCTAGAAAAAGTTCATTATACCAATAGTTTAATAAAATAAAATTGCAGCAGCCCTTAAAATGAAATGAATACACTTAATTTAAGTATTTGAGAGTGCTGTACCAGACCACCATCTAATATAAAATTCAGCTGCCTGTGAGAATGAAAACACACCTGTCTTACCATTAAGGCCATCTTTGATTTGAGAGCAGGGTTCAGCTATACAGAATTTAAAGTTTTGAATTGGGACCTTTGGATAGTGTGTCATTTTGCCTGCCCCTCACTATAGCTTGTCCTTTAATTTGTTCCTTCCCCAACGTCTTCAATCTTTAATTGGGCATTGCATATCATGCCAGAGAAAAGGCAAGCAAGCATTCATTTTTGATACAGCTTACTTAGAGTTGCTTCTTAGTTGTGGTAGTTGTTTTACAGTGCTGTATGTATGCATAGACATTCAACAGATTTCCTCCTTCACAAGGCATTGTTTAAAAGCCAGGCTCGTGCTCAGTGTGGCATGAGCCAGACATGTGGCTGTTGGAGAGTGTCTGTGGTGGTGTTTTTCAGGACTCTGTGCTTCTTAGGACTACCTCGTGGGTTTTGAGGTCTTTTATTGCTGCAGTGGTGTTAGTGGAGTTGGTGTTGTTAAGGTACAGTTGCATATTTAATTTGCCAGTGCTGTGAGTGGGAGGGAGGTGGTGGTGAGCAGTGGAGCAGCAGATTAAGGCTTAGCAAGATGCTTCCATTCCTGAAGTTTGGTATTTGGTGTGTTCTAGTGAAACGTGGAGCTGTTGCTGACGGTGTTGAGTGGGTCTCTTAACCCTCGTTCTTTGCAGCATGGAAACTTTCATGGATGTCCTTCAAATACTCATGTAGTTGGTAGGCTTGATTTGTTGTACTTCTCCCAGTAGTGGAGCTGTGTCAGTAGTCTGTCAGGTGCTGAATAGTGACAAACTTGGAGCAAATGTCTTTGACTTACACTTCTCAAAACTGCAGACCCTGGGACCAAAAATAACTAAGAACCTCCCTATCATTTAATTGGAAGCTTGTCTTCTGACTAGTGGTGGAAGAATTTAAGTCCTGATCTACAGGCAGGGATCAGCCTTTTTCAGGGCACAGCTGTCCCCAGTAATCATGTTGGGGTTGCCAAAATGAATCTGGTTTTCAGGTATTGGATGAAATGTTGCTTATTCAGGGCTTTTCCAAACTGTTAAGAGTGAAGCCTCTGAATATCACTCAAGGGTTTCTTTGGGACTGAGAACCTGTTTAAAACAGCTTTTATACAACTAGTTAAACCTGGGTTCTGTCCTGTGAACGAGGAACTGATGTGTGGAAATAAATACTGGAGTATAAGCCATGGTGTTGTATTGACTTCAGCTCATCTGCTTCTGCAGGAAGGACCATTAGGTCAGCATCATTTTAATGTTTGCTTCACCCATGTCAAAGCAAAAAGCTGCTAAAAACACTGCTGTGTTACAGCTGAGCTGTGTCCAGCATGCAGCAGCAGAGCCCTGGTATGCACCACGGCTGAGGCAGGAGGAACAGAGAGCCCCCTTGGCTCTCCTGAAAGGTGAATTTGTACCAGCACAGTTCAAATGAGGTGAAAATAAATGAGGTGAAAAAATATGAAGTGTAACCACTGAACCCTGCTGAAGTTAAATGGCATTATTAGGAATTCAGCCAGTTTCCAGTAAAACGGGTATTGTAGATCCAAAGAAACAAAAAAATATGTTCTGATTGACATATCATTTGTTAATTATTTTTTATATAAGATTAATTACTCTGGAGGAGAGAAGTGTTTTATAGCAATAATACAAAATATGGACTAGTAGGTTCTTTTACTCAAGATGGGTCAGGCAGCAGTTTTGAGAAGATTCTTTTGCAACAACCTTATTATATAGTGGTTTAAGAAGCGTTCACTGAAAAAAAATTTTCACCTGATTTTTTTGTTCATTAAAAAAACATATATATATATGGGTATTCTATTTTCTATGATATACACTTACTTGGAAATAAGTAATATAAGCAATACTGATGTTCTATTTAGGTAGCCATAAATAGTTTAGAAATTAGAAAGTGAAAACAGTTGTTTAGGAGTTGATAGTGTCTAGTACAATAATTTTCTTACTTGTTTCCTTTTCCCCTTCCCCTAAGTTAAGGTTTTCAGTGTATCGGTGTCTACATCTTCTGTTTAAAACAAATGTAAACACTGTGTTGCATAGAACTCAAAAAATTGCACTAATTTTTAAACTTTCAGTTTTATTTTTTTCTTTGGAAAAAATCCTTTTATATTCACATAAAGATTTTTAAAATGAATTCTTTGGTGTCTTTATTCCAAGCCATGTATTTAATGGTCCCTAGCTGGTGTTTCTGGGCAATGCACAAGCTGGTTCTGTATGTTGGTACATCTACACCACCTCAAATACCCTGTTTCAGGACAGGTATTGTAATGAGGGTCTGGATGTGGTGAGTTGTGCTGCTCTTCTCTGCTGTTTCCAGCTCATTGATCCCACCCAAAGCTGGCTCCCTGTGCTCAGCCCACAGACTGAGGGGCAAAGGGCCTTGTGAAGTGAAAATGTAAAACCCCTCTGCAGATGGGCTGTGGAGTGACTCAGTAATTATTGCTGCTGAGGAGGGTGAGGGTCTCTGCCTGTTCTCAGCCCCACCTGAGAGGACACAGAGGACAGGTACAGCTCTAAATCACTGTTCTTGCTTTCGTTGGGAAAAGAAAACTGTCTGCTCTGTCCAGCCTGCTCTGCAGGTGATTTATGTGCTGCATCCTTACTCCTATGACCAGATCTCATTCCCTGTGCACTATCCCTGCCCAGAAGTGCTGTTGGAGAAGACTGGCAGCCTTCAGCCCTCTGGAGTGAACATCTGAGGATGAGGAGCTGCATTGAATGCCCAGTGGAAGGGCCTGTCCCAGAGGGGGTGAAGCCATTATGGAAGAACTGGTTTTCCTGCTTGCTGAGGCTGGACATAAAAGCAGTTTCAGACACTGAAACCACAGCGTGCAGGTGTGTGAGGGAGAAGGAAAGGGAAGAGCTGCTCAGCTGTGCAGGAAGCCTGAGCTGAGCTGCAGGATGTGTTCAGTCCTGACCCTGTTTGCATCTTCTGGCAGCTCTGAAGAGCCAAGCAGTGCAGCAGGAGCTCTGTGTGTTCAGGTGAGGAATGTCCCTGCAAGAGGAACACAGGATTACAGCCCTGAGTGCAAAGGAAAGGAGGAGCTAAGGTCAGTCATATGTTGGAGATAGTTTAGGTGGAGGGGGCAGAATATTCAAGAAGCCTGTGAAATGCATTCTTCTTTGCAATTTAACTAACTGAGCAGAGGCCTATGGAGGAAACTTTTGGATAGAGCAGCAGTTTGGGAAAGGAATGGGAATCTGAGCAGAGCACTGGGGGGAAAAAAGTACCATAAACCAGTCAGATGAGACCTGTGCACTGGAATTGTTTGGGAGTAATGCTCACACAGCAGAAACTTACCACTGTTCCCCAGTCAATTCCAGTCATGCAGCCCACTTGCAGCCTTCCCCTTCTCTCAGAGAACGAAAAGAAAGGAGTTCAGGTTTAGAAAGTCAATTTACTGTTTTCTTTCTGCTGAAAACAGATGTGGGAGCCCTTGCCAGCAGCAGGATGGAGGACAGCTGGCATGAGGAGAGGAGAGGTGTAGGGCTGGGGCTGACCAGGTTCTCCCTAGGAATGGCATGAGACAAGTCTGCATTTAATAAATGCACTGGTTTGTGTCCCACCATGTATCCTCATTTCTCCACCTCACCGGGTCTGTAAAAAGGCCTCAAGTTCCAGGAGCAGTATCTCAGCCCAAACTCTTGTTCCCACTGGCAGAGAAAATCAGAGGAGGTGGCAGAACCCACCCAGCCAGTGCTGAAAGAGCTGTGCCAGAAGCTGTGTTCACCTGGGAGAAATTTGCTTCCTCTAGGAAGAGGTGAGTTGTACTCCAGGGAAAACTGAAAAGAGGAAAAGATTGCTCTCTGCTCATTTCCTCAGCAGGAGAGCTGGAGCTGGAGGTGTGTGTTCCTGGTGCTGTGCTGATTTCCTGATTTCCCATCCTGCTCCTGGGAGCTGCAGCTTCTGCCTGGAGGTCTCAGCAGGCTCCTTGGGGTGCAGCTGCTGCCCAGTTCAGTGCATTCACTGGTGTTAACCATTGGTTGCCAGTCTTGCGACTGTTTCATTATGTAGATGATGGTTCAAAATAGTAACTTGTTGCTATTATTTGCCAAGGTAGCCTTTTCCTCTTCAGACTGAGTGCAGCTGAACTGCGTTGTGTGTTGCTGGAGCTCACCCCACTGCCCTTGGACACACCAGCCACTCCATCTTGCTGGGCAGGTAAACAGAGGATTTTGCATATTGTAATTCTAGCTGTGCTGCCAGGATCATTTTTCCCATCACTTCTGCAGGAATTGCCTTTGCTTTTACAGTGTCAACCTCCTGCAGTGCAGGGACAGAGACACGGGGCATGGCCAAAGCCTACAGCCCCTGCTGGACATGGCCTCTGTTGGTCTTCACTTGGCAGAACACTTCATGACAAAAATGCTTTGGTAAAGATTTATTATGCATGAGACAAGTTAGATAGTGACTTTTTATTTATATAAGTACTTATTAAGGAAATCTCAAATTAATTGATGCGTTAATGTTATAAAACAAAGGCTGTACCCAGCCACAGTGAGTGGCTCCACAGTGCAGTCTCTAGTGTCCCTCATTTTGCCAAGGTGAACCATGGCCATCCATCACCAAATTAGGAAATCCCCAAGCCCTTCATTAATTTACAGTGCCATAGGACAAGCCTAATAATGCCCTGGAAGCTCCAAGGCTGATCCCATGATCACACCATCATGGGATAGAGAGTGCAAGGTCTAATTGTGAAAAAACCATGATTTCAGAATTGCTTTGAAAGAAATAAACCACCCAGCCTCCCGCTAGAGCTGCCAAGGGCCTGTTTGCAGCAGCCCTGACAAAGGATTCTCCATGTGAGGGTGGTGGCCAAGGCTCCCCTAGCGAGGCACAGCACAGATCTTGTAGGGCTGTGGGGCATTTGTGATGCCCACCATGGACTGGAGGCTGAGTGTGGTGCCTGGGGGTGCCTGGAAGGTGAATTTCTGGAGCAGGGAGGTGAAGAAGAGGAAGAGCTCAGAACGGGCCAGCAGCTCACCCAGGCAGGAACGCTTCCCTGTGGAGACAGAACCCACAGCATCCTCAGAGTGGGCTTTTTGTCCTTAGGACTGTGGTCCAGCTGTGCTACCCTGTTCCTGGGTGAGTTTTTCAATCCAAACCAAGCTTCCCAAAAATACTTTGGCATTGCAGCATGATCTGCCCCCAAATTACATGACTTTTTACACACACACATGACCTGGATGTGCCCATGCTGGGAGAGC